TCAGAATAACTGCTCTTCTGTCAGCTTGGCCAAGGGTGAAGAGCCAGTCTTGCTCAAAGGGAATATGTTGCCGAGAAACGGCTGATGGCCAGTACCCTTGGGAACCTGCTGTCACCTTCCTCAGTGGCCGAACCTCTACTACCAAGGAGACAGGAGATGGAAGGGACTGATATGACTGCCCCCACTCTTCTGAAACTTTCCTCAGTTTTTACAACCCACTTATCTATTTCCTGGAAAGGAAATTTCAGCACAGCCAGGAGACTCTGGGAATATTCCAGAACAGCAGCTACAGGGATGATTTGGGGGAAGTCTTGGCAGCTCTCTTCTTTCAATGAAATGATAGTAATAACCATTTAACTTTTCTTGAGCACTAAATCTGTGCCAAGAGCTGAGCTAAGAATTCATATGTAGATTATTGTATTTAACCTTCCCAATGACCCTATGACCCTATGAGCCGGGAATTCTCATTTTACAGATGAGATCATGAAGGCTTGGCTTGGTTAAGGAACTAGTTTACTGGTGCAGAGCCTTGAGGCTAGGGTTCAAGGCAGGAGGTGTAACTCTAGACCCTGTTCCTAACCGGTGCTCAACTCTAGCCACATGGGCTCTATAATACTTCACATATGGCCTGCCTCGTTACACACTGAGCGTGCTGGTACACTAGGGTGGTGCGGGAATGCACCAATGTCTTTGGAGGTTATGAAGGGATGGATGTTCCCCTGCCTACAGGACTCCAGATCATTATGCTTCCAAATCGTTTGGTCTGAATTTACTCATTCATTCATTCAGTTCTGCTTTTGGTCTCCTTCCCTCTGTCAGGCTGGAAGCTTTTCTGCAGAGTCTATGCCTGGCTTCCCCTGCTCCTCTTCCACCTTCTAATCTGCTGTTGGGAACTGGCTAGTGAGATCTTCTGAGGGGTAAGGAACACCAAGAGATAGGCATGGGATTTTTGCGCTGTATCCCTCAGAGGCCTTTTCTGCTTCCTTACTAGGCATCAGAAAAATGACCTCTGGATGGATAAGACTTTGCAGCAATTACTTTGAGTTATGAAGACAAACACTATGTGTAATGGTGTCCCCTCCAAATGAACACAGCTTCAGATATACTGATCATTTCCCTCACAGTGAAAGTGGAAGTCCTTCTGATGACAGTATCTAGCCTAATACCCACAGAGCCTCCAACCAATAAGCCTACTTCATTTTATGCTTTAGACAGAGCTACTCCTTATTTGTCCATTTGTGCCCCATGATTTTCCCTCCTTCAAGAAACTCATTTCTAAACCCTAACCATTTTTGAAGTCTTAACGCAGGTATCATCCACCCCATGAGGCTTTCACAGATTCACCACCAGGAAATAATAAGACCAGAGATCTTATCAAGTCTACTATATGTTAGTGCAATGGTTCTCAGCCAAGTTGCTTTTGTCCCCCAGGGCATACTTGGCAATGTCTGGGGATACTGTGGCTATCCATCACTCAAGGAGAGTAGAGTTGGTGCTACTGGCATCTAGTGGGTAGCAACTGATAAACATCCTACAAAGCACAGGACACCCCCCACAATAAGGAATTATTTGCCCCCCCCCCCCAAATCAACATTGCCAAGGTTTAATACTTCTAAACCCTGTGTTAGAGTATACACACATTGTTAACTTCCCCTACTAGAGTATAAATTCATCATGGCGAGGGCACAAATGCTCAATACAAGTATGTTGAATGAATGAAAAAGCTGAACCAAGTTGCAAAAAAGTCATAGCTCAGCCAAGATGAGATCTTCAGGATTTCTGAGACCCAGGTAATTCTTCAGCAAGCTTTGACTTGAGAGGCTGTGTGTGGGCTGAAAGGCAAACAGAATCTAGAGGAGAGGGGCCAAGCAACACCAATATATAAACGAAGAGATATCAATCTTTGCTGTTCCAAATGTTCAGCAAACCTTTTACACACATCTGTGTAAATTACTTTGGGAGGAATCAAGGAAAGGAATATAAGCACGGAATAGGGACAACTCAAATGATCTATAAATGGAACTAATTAATTCACTGGGTAGAGGAGCTCTGGGCTACAGGTTTCCTGGAGAGATTGGATGATAGCACTGGCCAGGTGAATTCTGAGTTTTCATCTGAATCTCAAAAAACTGAGTACCTCAGCAGATATCTAGGATGTGGGTAGATTCCATTATTCTAAAACAAATTCCCTCCCTTCCCCCTTCACCTCCATGGGAAGAGTATATACGTCCCTGACCCACTGACGTTGGGTCACATGATTTGCTTTGGCCTCATGGTGGGCGGGATGTACTTCTCTGCCCCTTTGGGTGCAGCCATGTGACCTGATTTAGTCAATGGGATGTTAGCAGACACGACACAAACAGAGGTTTGGAATGTGTTTGCCCCGTTGGGCTTGTGCCTCTGCTGGCACCAAGAGAACAGCTTCTCTGGGCAGCTGCTGTCCCTTCAGCCTGCACCCCAGAAAGAACACATGGGAAGTGGACAGGAGCCCAACCCAGAGTCAGAAGCCATGCCCAGTCAAACCTGCACCTTCAATTAGAGCCACTCAGCTAAGCCCAGCCTAGATCAGCCAACACCCAGCCTACTCCTCACAGAAGTGTGAGCAAGTACAAATGATTTTTGTTTTAAACCACTGAGTTTGAGAGTGGTTTGTCATAGAGCACTATTGTGACAACAGCTAACTGACACAGTTCAAACATGTACCATAATGTTCACTGCAGCACTATTTACAATAGCCAGGACATGGAAGCAACCTAAGTGCCCATCGACAGATGAATGGATAAAGAAGATATGACACATATATACTGTGGAATATTAGGCATAAAAAGAAACGAAATTGAGTTATTTGTAGTGAGGTGGATGGACCCAGAATCTGTCACACAGAGTGAAGTAAGTCAGAAAGAGAAAAACAAATACCATATGCTAACACATATATATGGAATTAAAAAAAAAAAAAAGGTTCTGAATAGGGGCAGGACAGGAATAAAGACACAGATGTAGAGAATGGACTTGAGGACACGGGGAGGGTGAAGGGTAAGCTGGGACGAAGTGAGAGTAGCATTGACATGTATACACTACCAAATGTAAAACAGATAGCTAGTGGGAAGCAGCTGCATAGCACAGGGAGATCAGCTTGGTGCTTTGTGACTACCTAGAGGGGTGGGAGGGAGACACAGACGGAGGGGATATGGGGATATATGTATACGTATAGCTGATTCACTTTGCTATACAGCAGAAACTAAAACAACACTGTAAAGCAATTATACTCCAATAAAGATGTTAATATACATATGTGTATGTTAGAGAGATATATATTATATACGTGTGTATTATATATATTATATCCTAATGATATATTTCCTAATAATATATATCTATATAAATATATGTATATATGTATGTATATGTATATCCCAATAATACCTGAAGCTAAAAGATTAGAAAGACTATAATCTACCCTCTCCCCATTTCCCCCAATCCTTAGAAAAATCAGGAGGGATACAGAGCACCCCTTCATGAGCGTTAAGTTCGAGAAAACAGGAAAATATCCATGGTAGTTGTCTCTGGGTAATGAGCTATTGGGTGATTTTAATTTTCTTCTTTATAATTTTCAATATTTCCCCAATTAAAAAAAACCTCAGGTATTCCTTATCTAATCAGAATAAAAACAGTAAATCACTTAAAAAAAAAATGCCTCCTCTGGCCTAGAGCTGAGAAGGCTGCCTTTCACAGGCTGTGGCCCTGGAAAGGAGCCGGGGTCCCAGCTTCTCCTGGGTCGAGTGAGGGGTTAAAATGGGCACAATATTGATTTACATTCAATTCAACCAACACTGACGGAGCTTGTCTGGCTGGACTCAGAGTCAGGCACTACAAGGGATTCTGGAAAAAAGGTGGGTTAAAAATATCTGACTTGGGGGCTTCCCTGGTGGCTCAGTGGTTGAGAATCTGCCTGCCAATGCAGGGGACACGGGGTCGAGCCCTGGTCTGGGAAGATCCCACATGCCGCAGAGCAACTAGGCACGTGAGCCACAACTACTGAGCCTGCACGTCTGGAGCTTGTGCTCCGCAACAAGAGAGGCCGCGATAGTGAGAGGCCCGCGCACCGCGATGAAGAGTGGCCCCCACTCGCCGCAATTAGAGAAAGCCCTCGCACAGAAACGAAGACCCAACACAGCCAAAAATAAGTAAATAAATATAAAATATCTGACTTAAAAAAAAAAAGGCTGACTATAAGTAACTCACTTCTTCCGATGAAGCAGGCTCAAGTGATTAAGAATTCTCTGTGACCTGATGCCCACTGGCTGGCCCAATTGTGTCCACTGCCCGGGCCCTATGGGTTTCAGGGCTCTTGGCTATATAGATCAAGTGCTAAAGATTTGGGTCGTGATACTGTGTAACTGAGAAGGAACGGAGAGAGAGAGAGGAAAAAAAGCAACAAACCTAGACTTTCACGATAACACCACCTGAGTTTCATCCAAAGGGAATGAACTCAGGATATAGACAGCTTATATAAGTCTGAGTGAGTCAGATCCAAGCAGCAGCTTTCTCTACACATGCACATGTGGGCACTGGACAGCCCAGACTGACATCTTTTCGTGGAAAACCTGAGTCCCAGGGCTGAGGAGCTTCCCAAGAAACCGAGTGTCATGGGGTTAGTAAGAGTCA